TGGTATGGCTAAGCCCGGGGTGGTGGGGAGGACCTTTCCAAGTGGGATTGCCTTTTCTAGTCCGGGCCAGTGCCAAGCCAGCTTCAGGGCTCTAGCTGTCTCTAGCTCTACCTCTTAGGTGTCCATTTTATTGGAAGTTGTTCATTTCCCTTGCTCCATTATTTCGGATTGGACTTCTGGGACTTTTCCAAGGGAGGCTTGACTGAGGAGAAGGAAATCCTCTTCCTGGATGGATGCCTCCCTCTAAGAGAGAATCCACTGCATTCGAGGTGGGTGCCTGAAGCTCTAACTGCACCAAAGCTTTGGCATGCATGTGGCTGTGTACCCTTGTGGACTTCTGGGCCTGGAGGGCTTGATGACTCGTGCATAACTCTTCCTACTTCCCGCTTCTGCCCTGTTGTTCCTGTTGACACAATGTTCATGATAATGGCCATTCCAAGAATCATTCCTTTGGTTTTTGAGGTCTTTTTTTTTCTTTCTTGATTACTCAAATAATACTTTCTTATTATAAAAAAAAAATTATATAAAAATATTAAATAAAAAGTATACATTTCCTGTAGTTTTACAAATCCTCACTTCCCCTACAGTCCCAAGATTGTTATTGTCAAAAATTATCTCCTTGTTTTTAATGATGTGAAGGACTAGAGGCTCCACACTCTGCTAGGAAGTCTTCATTGTGCCCCCTTTGCTTCAGGAATTTGTATTTATCCTTAGAAAAGAAAGCTTCAGTATTGCCTTTGTGAAGATGCCCTGATCCAGCCACACCGTCCTCATCCCTCCTTTCACTAGGTGCCCAAAGTCATTTGTACATATTTCAATTAAAGAACATATTTCAACTAAAGAATGGTAATTTTTTAATTCAATGTCTCCCCCACTTCAAGGAGTTTGGTGACCGTGTCTATTCCTCTTTGGTACAAGGCACCTGGAACACTGACATGCAATCCAGTGCACGATAAAAATTTGCTGAATGAACGAGTAAAGGGATATATAAAACATATATTTTTCTAACACATGGACTTTTGAGGCCTATAATAATCACAATTAAGACACTCAGGTTTAAATTTCTCTAGCAAGATGTTTCACATATATTCCATATTTCAACAACTAAGTCGTGCTATTAATTCTGATTTTCTTCCTTTGTGTAGGCTCCAAAACTCAAAATTTTAGCTTCACAGAAAATGGTAAAGTTGGAAGAATTGGGGGATGGATGGTAGTTTATTTTTCAAGTGCCAAATGAACATTTTGAAGCATAGCATCTTTGGCCATAGGCTTTGTTCACTGACACCAGAACATTCCAGGAAATGACATTTCAAATAAACAGTTTTGAGTCCAGTAAACCACAAACACAAAGATGTTTTCCATAGCACTTCACAGCAAATAGCCTTCTGTTGACAGTTACTCAGGAATGACTGATAATATTTGCAAAGCACAAATAACTCTTCTGTTAGATTAATTGGATATAGTTTTCGCTGATGGCCTGGGCAAAAGAGTGTTTCCATTAGAATAGTAAAAGAAAAGAACAAAAGAGAAGAGAGAAGAAGGATGAATCTTAGAATTATATTCCTAAATATAAGAAATCCTCTCTGGACCAGCACTTCAAATTCATGAGCCTCACTAAGGGACTCGGACATGCACGCTGCATGACATGTTGTCCACAGAACATCAGCCAAAAGGAGTTACTTTTCTTGGAAAAAAGATTGCAATGGAGCTTTCGTATTTCACCACTTAAACAGTTTGGGCTTAATACAATTAAGTGATATAATTATGAACCCATTTCCCAAAGTCCTATTTCTTGTTCAAGCGTATCAGTAATTTTCAAATAGAACTCGTATGTCATGAGTTGGACCCAGCTCTTCACATTAAAACACATAGGCAATCTACAAATAGAAATCCACAATCTAATTTTGACTTTAGAATTAAAGAAAGAGTAAGACTCAATGGGTACAAACACAGGAAGTGAGGTACAAAGGGGACACTGGGCATTTGACCTAAGCCAGAAGTGAAGGCAGGACGTGACAAGGAGAAATTCAGATGCCTCAAAATGAAAGTTGAAAAAAGTGAAGGGGTCACTGGATTTCCATCATATAAGAGATAGTAGCTTAAATAGTAAAGAGAAAGCATTTACCATAGCAGCTGGACCTAGAGTTACATCAGTGTAACTAACATATTAAGTGAAGAAGCAATATAATTACTAATGGGGGTGGGGGTAAAAAAATTACCATTCTCCCTTACATAAAAAATAGGTACTGTGAGAGTCAGGCTTACTATATAATAAAAAGTTAACATTTATTGAGTACTTGGGTTGGGTCAGGCACTGTTCTAAGTACATTATATGAATAGACTATTTAATTTTCAAAGCAATTCTATGAGATAGAAACTATTATTATCCCAATTCAACAGATGAGAAAACTGAGGCACAGAAAGGCAAAGGTCACATGCTTAATTAGTAAGATGCAGGGCTGGGATATGAACTCAGGCAGTCTGGCTCCAGAGTCCTATACATTTTTAACAGTATGCCATGTTGCCTCTTAACACCATCTCAAAAGAATATTACTCTTTGGGGCACCTGGGTGGCTCAGTATGTTAAGCATCCTCTTGGTTTCAGCTCAGGTCCATAGTCTCAGGGTCGTGAGATGGAGGCCCAACTTGAGCTCTGTGCTCAACAGGGAGTCTGCTTGAGATTCTCTCATTCTCCTCCTTCCTCTATCTCTCTGTCCCTCCTGCCATTTGTTCTCTCTCTCTTAAGTAAATAAATAAATATTTAAAACAAAGGAAATACTACTCTTTATTTCAGTTTTATTCATATGTTTACATAGGTCTTCAGAAATCTATAGGAGAGCTAAGTCCTGAATTGAAGGAGACTAGTTACTAGCTATCAAAAGCAACAGAAGTCAGTGTTAGAAAAAGATATGCAATTCACCTTTGCATGGTGTTACATTTATCTATGCAATTGAATCCAACTCAGTTAACAATGATTTAGGGTCTCATGCTGAGTACCAAAAAAGTAAGATTCAAAGTCTAGAGAAGACACCACTTTTATTCCCATCTAGAGCAGATAAAATACTCTGGAAGCTTACAGTTAAAAGAGATGAAGAAAGTGAAGAACAGAGAGTTCAAATGACCTGCCCGATGCCAAAAAAGGAGTTTGAGGCACAAAGGGACACAAACTCCAAATCAGATGGGTCCAGTTCTCTGGTTGCTCTACCACTGTTTCTAATCAAGCTGGCTGAACACATCACAATAAAATTAACTTCCTAAATGCGTATCTGGGCCCTAAAAGGAAGAAAATGTTTGATATCTGCCTGGCTCATGTCTGGAACACACTTCATTCTGGAATGAACAGATTACCAAGGGAGTATTTTTAAAGGAAGGAGGAGAGGACTTACATATAAGGTCTCACTGATCTTCTCTGAAGAATGTATGTTTTAAAAGGGTTTTAATTGCTGGGCAATTCATCTCTCTCAAACCTCACCCAATTCTAAAACCAGACCTTGACATTAGACACATACTGGCACCCATATGAACAGGTACCTGTGTAGGTTCCAACACTATTCTACGGGTCTTAAGAAAAGAAGACATGCTTTAAACCTTTTTGTATGTCCAGCTTTTACAAACTACCTTCACACAGTGGGTGCTCAGTATGGAAGTGATGTCAAAAGTTCGAGTACCTGCAATGTAAGGTTTCCAATGAGCTTGTTTTCTTTCCCCCCAAAATGGCCCTGTATCAGGTCTTTTAGTGATTTTCATCAGATCATTTCAGTGGACCAATTTTATGCATTCTTCCACCACCAGCCCTGACCTGCCAAGGGACATTTGGCAATGTCTGGAGACATTTTTTGGTTGTTATAGCTTGAGGGAGATGGTACTTACTGCCATCCAGCATATAGAGGCCACGATGCTGCTAAACATCCTACATGAGACAGACCCCACAATACAGAACTATGTAGCCCCAAATGTCAGTAGTCCCAAGGTTAAGAGACACCAGCCTATTTAAAAGGAAAAAAAGCACAACCACCTTTCTATCTCACCAGTTTTAAAACACAACTAAAACATAAATCAAAATGGTACACGAAAGATTTGCCCCAAGCAAGACCGTGTCAGGAATCTATTGTTAACATGACCAATCATTTGATGGGCTTATTTATAGGATAGAAGGGTTCATTAAAAACGAGAAGAAATGCATGAATTTAAACACATACGTATTTAACTAAGCAATGGAAAGCCTTCACCAAAGAGGATGTTCTTATCTTTACTGTATCTGAAACATAGTTACAACATAAAACCTTCTACTCATGAGGCATTTCATGGCCAGACTGCTCGGACTCAGACGTGGGACTTCGACTTCAGATTGTTTCATTATTTCTAACCTCACTCAAAATCTGCCGTTTTGATCAGCACGCAAAGAGGAAATGTATGTTTTTTGTTTTCAAAGAGGGTCATCAAAAACCACTTTCACTATTAGCTTTTCCTTTTTATGCCTGTCCATCTTTCTCATGTCTAGGTTCACCTGGAAGTTCCAATCTTCAGCCTGGGTTCCTTATTGTGGGTAAGGGGATCAAGCCTTCAGTCCCATGTTGCTCTCTCTGACTTCTGCCATGGAAAGACAGCTGCAGTAGAACAATCTTAACAGCCAGATAATGTCTTTAAGATGAACAAGGAAAAGGAGGCAGGGGGAGCTGCTGACTTTTCTTTGCACTTGGTCATGGTTTCCTTACATAGTCTCTAGCTGATGTGGTTACATTTGCTACAGTTTTATTTGCTTGTTCATTTTCCCTAGCGGCTGATCACATTTGATACTTTGGATGTCTGGCATACACTTGAATAAAAATTTCTTTTTTTAAGGGGACAAATTCATTCCTTCCCAAGAATCAACTGACAAAAAACATACAGACTCTTTGAACATATCAAAGTAACTTATCTGTTCAGTATTTTGTGTGTTGAGTTAAACATGTCACTACTGAAATCCTTACACATTGGTTAACGACTTTCTAAATATTTACCAAGATCTTTAATAAGCGAGAGTGCTTCCCATGATACAAAGGCTCCGCCGCCATCATCCATGGCGCCCTGCCCAACGTCCCAGCTGTCCAGATGTCCACTGACCAGTACAACCTAGAATAATAAAAAGAGAAAAAATAAAACTAAGCAGAAATGACATCAAAGAGGAAGCATTCACAGTCATTCCAAATACAGATCTAAAACTTTTATATTTTCTTTTCTATTTTTACATCTTAAAAGATCTGTGTCATTACCAGTGGAAAACCTGGTAGAAGGCATTACAGAAGGGGTGGAAGGTCCTAATAATAATAAAAATTCTCACCTTGTACTTCTCTTTATTAATATAACTCTGAATACTAAAGTAAAATTTATTACTGACCAATGTTTGACAATTTTATTACACGGCTTAAAACATAAATGACATAAAATGGAGCTCAAAATTTCAACCACGTTCTCAGCTGCCCCAAATTCTAGCAAACATATAGTAAACATGTACTGGATTGAAATCAAATGAAAAAGTGAGAACAATAATTAAGTTTTAAAACAAATGATCGTGCTTTGTGTATTATAAATCACTTCACTGTTGAATAACTATACTGGAGTTACTACCTAGAGTCTAAACAAAGAGCTTTTTAAAAAACGTTCCTTTTACAATAGTGTTAAGTAAGTCTACAGATTGTATTATAAATTTTAAATCACCATAGGTTTAAATGTTTTTCAAGAATCATTAGTAATTCTTTCCAGGAAAATATAAAACACATTTCAGTGAAATTAAACTTTATGAAAACATTTTAATTAAAGCAAGTAAAATGATGCTCAGTTAATGGGATACCCATATGCTAAAACTGTATCTTGACCTGTATTTCATACAATATGCAATACCAAATTAGATTAATTACAAATCTAAATAAAGATGTTAGAGGAAAGCATAGAACAGTTTTGTCAACTTGGAGTAGGCAAAGAGTTCTTAAACTGAACCCCAAAAGCACAAAACATAAAAGAAAAAATAGTAAATCTAACTTTTAAAAAATGAGGAATGTCTGTTATCAAAAGACCCCAATACATGAGTGAAAAGGCAACCAAGATAATTCCAATACAAACACACACAAAAGGAACTATACCCAGGTTATATAAAGAATTCCTATCAAACAGAATTAAGAGAGAGCCAATTGATAAAAACATGGGCAAAAGACTTGAACGGACAATGCACAAAAAAAGATATACAAATAAATATGAAAGGGTACTCAGGTTCACTATTATCAAGTAAATAAGAATTAAAGCACATTCAATATATATCCAGCAAAAGGACTAAAATTAAAAATGCAGAAAAGGTCAAATATTGGTGAAGAGATGGAGTGACTGGAACTCTCACACATTGCTGCTGTGAGTGTAAATGCTTACAACCACTCCGGAAAACTGGTTTATCTACTAAATCTGAACAAACACATGCCCAATGCCCCAACAGCTCCACTCCTATATATTTCCAACAGGAATGTATGTGTATATATTCTTTCACCAAAAGAGATGTACTAGAATTTTCAGAATGCCCCCATCCCCCTTCCCAAAAGGAAACTATTTAAATGCTTGTTAAACAGCAGAATGAATAAATTGTGTTATATTGATCAGTAGAACACTACACAGCAGTAAGAATGAACAAACACAATATATCATCAATGGAAATGAATCTCATAAACATAATGAAAAATGAAAGAAACCAGACACAAAAATAATGTATCATGTATAATTTCATGGATATAAAATATAAAAACAATTAAAACAGGAGAATGAGTGAAAGGTGAGAAGAGTTAGTGACATGAAGGGGCTAATAAGGAGAGCTTCTGAGGTGCGGTCATTTCTGATTTTTGATCTGGGCACCAGTTACACAGGTGTGCTCAGTTTGTAAAAAAGCTTACCTTGTCACACACTCAGGATCTGTGTACTTTCTCTGAGAATATTACACATCAATAAAAAGCTTTCAAAAGTTAAGCCGATTGATGTCTATGTACAACATGTAGTAAGCAAACCAAAGTTGAACTGATCTTGATGAATGAAATAAAAATGCCCCATGACTTTGGGAAAGCAGGATTTGGGTTCTGAAATACCAGAGGGACCCTTGGTGCTGCCTGTTTCCCTGAGCAGCTGCAGGATCTCCCATTGAGTCTGTATACACACACACACACACACACACACACACACAAACACACACACACACACACACAGCCCTGGCCTACATGACTTCACTATAGTCACAAACAAGTACAACGCCTTGTAACTAACAAGACTAACAAATGGCCATGTAATGAACCCAAATGGATTGTTTCTAAGGAAAAGAATTAAAAAAGAAGAAAGAAGAAACCATGTTGCAATAGCAGGAATTTCTGATTCAGAAACTGGTGTAATCCCATGTGGGATGAACAAACCAATTAGTCAATGTTCTCACCATCCTCAGAGCCATTTTCCCAATGAAGCTAGAGTTACAGTGGATTAAAAGTATCAAAATCTGTTTTAATGAACTTTTTCCCAGTTAACACATAAGAGTAACTAAATCAAGGCAGTTATTATTTTATCCCTCAGAATAATTGAGGTTATTTTATAATCACACATCTTTAGGTTTCCTAAAATGTCTCCATTGTCCAACCCAGAATTATTAGTTAAACAAATAATTAAAAGATGGGGAAAATGATTTTGGATGATGGGAAACTAAATGATATCCCATAAGATAAGGCTTTTGGCATAGTGCTAGAGAAGAATGGTTACAAACCACTTAGATCATGAGAGCTTATTTTAATATTTAATCAGAATATATATTGGGGGCCACCATGGGATAGCAGTTATGATTTTGAGACAATATGGGAGCATTTTTAATGAACCTGAGTTTTCCTAATTGTAAGAGCTCTACTACCCTTAGAAAATAATAGTGTCCAAGGTCTCCTTCCTTATTGCAGCCTCACAAAGGACAAATCAGTAAAGCATACAAACTCCCCATGCCTTATGTCAGGGTCAGGCAGAAATGAACATTGCCTAGAATACATTTGGATCTGACTTGGGAAAATGAAATAAAAATGGACTACCTGGAAACACAGAAAGCTCCAGTTTTATGAAAAAGAATCGCCTGATAAAAGAGGAATACACAGTCCCTTTCCTGCCTGTTACCTGACATGGGGCCCTTAGCACACTGACAGGGCCTAGAACCTTACCCACCTGGGCGCTGCCCTCTGAGGCGGGCAGAACACTGACCAATTCCCCACCCTCCACCTCCCTTTTTACCACCATGTCTTCAAAATGCGGTCAAGAGTAAAAATTATTAAAACCATAGCAGCAGCAATAGCAGCCACACCAAAATGGGAAGGAAAAGGGGAGCTGTGATGATCTGAAATGAAGGTTGTTATTTGTGAGGCACACATGAGCCCTGACTACCAAAGACTCAGGCCTTGGGGTGGGGGTGAGGGCTGGAGGGGGAGAACCTAGCACAGGAGGGCAGAAACGCAGCACTGGACACCTGCTACGATGAACAATTCGACTGGCAGTGGCTCATAAGCCCCTCCAGACCAGCTGTGGGTCTGAGAGCAGAGATAAACCAAATCAAGGGTAGACAGAGAGCAGCCTCAAGGACAAGCCCCTTACTTCTTTGTTACTGGTGCACACAGAGACACTGAGTGCAAATAGATTTGCCCGATTCAAAGATGAGTAAGAACATAATCAAAATGGGACATATGAAAAATACGGCAGAACAAGGGAGAGAGAACAGCCTCAGAGCAACCACATTCTTATGAAAACAAGCTAATGCAAGATATTGGAGAAAATGTCACATCTTTGGCATTTATTGCAAGCATTTATTCAACAATTTGTATTGAGTTTCTGTTACAGGTCAGAAATGCAAAAATGAAAAAAATAAGTATTCTATCCTAATGGTATTATCATTCTGGTAAGGGGGATGGACAATAAATAAATACAATATAATGGCAGTTTTAAGTGCTATAAAGAAAAAAAAAAACAGGACAAAGGAAGAGAACAGAGAGTGGTGGTGACAGGGAGAGGAAAGATGGTCTGCTTCCTCTTCAACTGGACCGCGGCAGGAGAATTCTATACCCACCCTAACAGTGAAAGAAATCTAGATAATCTACAAAATCATCACTTTTCAAGGCCCATCAGAGATCTGATTGTGACTCAGCCAGAGGAGCTGAATTCCAGAGGATAACAAGCTCATCCAAGGAGAGATGGGACACATGAACTGCTTGGCCTTTTACAGCGACAGGAGGAAGAGTGACAGTGACAACAGATGGAGGTGACAGACAAAAACAGGAAAGAAGACGACAAGGAAAATGTTAACAAATTCTGAAAAGGTGAATGTGGACTAATGTGAGAGTTTAGAATCCCTGAGAACTGCCCCTGTTAAGGCGCCAGGTACCCAATTTTCTAGATCTCTTCCATTGGTCTCCATCAGGCGCTCATAAGAATACTGGGAGCAGGCCAGACGCCCAGTGAGAGTTTGCCTCAATGGTGCAGGAGGGCAGAGAGACGATGACCAGATGCTGTTGGGAGGCAGGTGGCAAACATAAGCTGCCTCTGGGACCCTTCTCTCATAGGAAGCAGAAGTCATTTGCCCCCCTGGGGAGAAGGAGAAACCGGTCCTCCAGGGCAGTCCCAGGCAAAGGGCAGTGGCTAAAGGGCAGTGGGTAGAAAACTGCACTCCCACTCTACTGACACTAGGAAAAACATGTATGTCTCCGGGGGCAGTCAGGAAACCTACTCATACCCCCAATCATGCACTGATGTAAAGCAGAGTTCTGCGGCCACAGGGTGAGGGGGCCATATGGCAGAGCCTGGTTTCCACAGGGGTTGGGGGAGAGCAGTAATGTTGAGAAAGCTCTACTCTTGACCTCAGGCACACAGAGGGGCAGGAGAACCAAGAAACTGCCCTGTCTCCACAGGCGGCCTGCAGTGAGTAGTAACAAGCACCTCAGTAACAGCTTAGAGCTCAGGGAAGGGCAAGAGCCCAGAGAGAAACACTGGCTGGGGTGCAGACACATGGAGCTGGCTGAAAGTTGATAAAGCGAGATACCGGGAAAACTCGTCCAGCAACCCAACCCCTACAGAGACTAAAAACAGCACAG